TCTGGAAAAGTCTTTTTTTTTAAGTCCTTTCAGTAAAGTTCTGCACCTCACTGGGGCTAGACACCATGGCCGCTGGGGATGCAAGTTACAGGGTTAAGTCCGCGGGTGGGATGTAACCGTGTAGCCGATTAATCAATTAACCAATAAGCTAAAGTTTCTAGGTTAATGCTATAGACTACACGCATTTCCCTCCCCTCCCTGCCAGTACATTTTTTAGCAGGCTGGCCAACGGTTAGAGAAGAAGAGCCAAAATAGTGGTGGACAGAGTGCAAAGAGCCACTGGGGCGGGGGGAGTTGTTTAGCCCCCCCCCCAAAAAAAGGCAGCTGTGCCAGGGGGAAGATAGATGCTGGTATTTTGTCCCAGGGAGGGGGCTTCAGGCTGGACAGTATTGGGGTTGGGTGGAGAGTTGAGGGGCTGGGACGCCATGCACATCCCCCCCCAACCTGATCCCCCTCCCTGCCCTTCCCTCCTCCAGAGCCAGGCATCTCCCCCCTGCTCTAACCCAATTCCCCTCCCCTTTCCTCCCCCCTGTGAATAATGAGAACTTGGATTTCTAATTGCAAGAAGCATTAGGGACCCATTGCTGTTCCGTTTGGAAAATTGGTGGCAAAACTCCCATAGACTTAAATAAGAGTGGTATCAGAGATAGCAATGTTCATGTCCAACTAATCCAGTCTATCAGCAGCTTATGTTTAGTGCAGAATTAGCTGAGGCCAGAGCTGTCACAGTTGGATTTAGGATGCTATTCAGTGTCTCTCTCAAAGACTGGCTTTGAATGGTATGGGGAAGAAACAGGTGGTGAGTTCAGTTCTAAGGAGCCTTGAATTACATTATCTGTGCATTTTTTAAATTGAAATAAAGTCTTGGGAGCATGGGGATTTTTTCCATTGTCCAATTCACTTATTTAATACAAAATCTGAATCTAAGCTACCTCGTTTTTTCTAGGCAAGAAAAGTGTCAGCTATGCTTCATCTAGCCTGTTAATAAAAGGTTTTATTATTTTGAAGTTTAAATTTTGATTTGACCTCAAGATCAAAATAATTTGAAAAAGTTGTGTTTTAATACACATTTTTATCATGTTAGACTTCTTTTTCAATTATTGTTTAAACTTTGAGTATTTTTCTCTAATTGTCTCTAATTAATTTCACTAATAAGTACATACATGTCTTCATACTATATAATATGCAAGTATGTTGATATTAAATACTTAATTTTTGATAGTCTCTTTTAAGATAATATTTTCAATAACTGACTGGACTGATGAATTAACTTTCCTCTTTGTGTAATTTATTATAAGAGAAACAAAAATATTTAGAGAATAGCTACATATGCTTTTAAAGTGTCCATAGTGTCTCTCTAAAATACAGCACATATCTGAATTTAGACATTGACATCAAATGTGCATATCCTCATAGCACCTTCCATCCAAGAATCTCAATGCACTTGTGTACATTTATGTATGTAATGTTCAGAATTGCCTTTCGGAAGATTAATATATGTTGGATGTATCAGTCATGCTTGGAACTAGCTGGCTTCTTTGAAATGGCTTAGCAGGGGCTTAGAAGGGAGGTGGTTTTATAACATACTAATGGAAGATTTCTTTTTTAAATTTTAGCGCCCACCCCGTGCCCTTCCCCCAGTTCCAAGGTAAGATTATTTGATTCTGTGAAATATGGTCATTTTTGTGCACTTGAATGTACTTAAAAGTTGTGAAAGTAAGAAAAATTAGCTCAGCAGAAATCTCAGAGTTCTCATAGATTTTAGTGAGATTTTACTAAGTGTCTTAAACCAACAAAAAAAACTTCTTTGAATTCTGGGTAAACAAAGTTTAAAATAAAATGAAACTTGCATTTGTGAAGCTATGGGTAAGTCTGTCAGCACTTTCATTATAAACCTAGCTTTATTTCAGTTTTGTATTTCACCACAAAAATTTGCAACATACTAATGTTTTTCTGTGCTGCAAGGCTAAATTTTATAACTAATTTTCTAAAAAGATTTATTTGGCTATGAATAACTTCGTCCTTTGACTTTCCAGAGCTCTTGAAGTATGGGATGCTTATTTTCCAGTCATATAGTACAAAAGACATTTCTTGTTGTCAGTAGACTGGGAAGCAGTTTAATTCATATTGTTTCTTCTGTCATTCGAAAGGGGAAAATGCATCAAACCTTTTAAGACTACTTCAGTCTCAGTAGCTATTCTATTCTCAACCCCTTGTTCTCCTTTCCTGGCCCTCACCTCATTCTTTATTGCTGGGAATGCTGTCTCTGATCTATATTTTAATTAGCAAGTGCTTTAGGGCTGAGACTTTTAAAAATCAGCCTGGCACTTAGCACATGGAATAGGGATGTAAAAGGTTAACCAGTTACCTGGTAAGAGAGAGACTTACTGGCATACTTAATGGGTAACCGGTAAATGGACCCTGCCCAAACTCTGGTGGCAGGCCAGACCCAGCCAGAGCAGCCTCCTCCCTGCAACACAGAAGGACCCCGGTCGTGGTGGGCTAGGCTGAATCAGATCGCAGCTTGTGGAGCAGTGGGCATGGCAGGCCAGGGCAGGACTCTGCCCACGGCAGGACAGCTAGGCTGGAGCAGCTGCAGGCAGTCCCTGCCTGGAGCAGCCCCTATCACACCTAGCAGGTGAGATCCCTGCCCCATAGAGACCCCAGCTGCTCTGTACCAGCCTTCCAATGGTTAACTGGTTAAATTCTCTCTATACAGGGAGTCCCCGAGTTACGCGGATCCGACTTATGTCGGATCCGCAGTTACGAACGGGGCTTTTCTCGCCCCGGAGGACGGGAGCGGCGGGACGCCCAGATGCGCCACGGTCCGCCGCCCCCATCCTCCGGGGCGAGAAAAGCTGCTCCCCGTCTCCCTGGTCTGCAGAGAGATGGGGAGCAAAGCCTCGGAGCACGCCAGCAGTGGGACAGCCGTGGCACACCTGGACTGTCCCGCTGCCCGCATGCTCTGCGACTTTGCTCCGTGTCTCCCAGGTCAGCAGACCAGGGAGACGGAGCAAAGCCGTGGAGGACTTGTGCGGTCCCGCCACCCCCGTCTCACTGGTTTTCTGGGGGGAGGGTGCAGCTAGTGCCCCACCCCCCCAGCAGACCAGGCTTTTCTTGCCTACCCCTATGGTAGAGCAGCTGGGGGCTGCCGGGTTGGTCCAGCAGCACCGCTCCGGACCAACCCGGCAGCACCCCAGCTGCTCTGCCCCAAGCGTCCTGATTCAGCCGCTGCTACTGGAGCAACCCAGCAGCACCCCAGCTGCTCTGCCCCAGGCGTCCCGAAGCAAGACCGGGAGGGCGCCGAGCA